GGAAACTGAAAGTGACTAAGACAATGCTTAAATGAATTTCTAATCTGCAGGGAGAGAGGGAAATGGGTGTGTAGGTGAAGGAATGACCCCCCCCCAGAAGGGGAGGAAGAAAGGAAAAGCAGAGGTGACGTGGAGACAGCCCTGTGAATGTCGGCAGCCCCTTCTCCTGAGGCTTGTTTTAAAATCGATCATGCTTCTTCATTTTTTGTTTTTGAAGTTTTGTCATTTTTATATAGTAGATGTTTCCAACATGTGTGTCGGTTAAGGTTCATTTGGGGAGGAAGGTTCAGACGATGAATCCACTCCAGAAAATGGGTTTCCCACAGTTTGGAGGAGAAGTAGGGAAGGAGAGGTCAGGAGAAGGGAGCTGGAGAGTCTTGAAAAGATTCCTAAACCAGGCCAGGCCCACAGGACATCTGGAACCCAGGCCCATCCCGGCCAGTGTCTGGAGAGCGGCTGTCTCCTGTAGTTGCTATCCCTGTGAGTTCACAGCCCATTGACGATGGCAGGCCTGGGCTACAGTTGTTGGCAGAGCTGGCAGACAGGAACAGCTGGTGTTGGAAACCAGCCCCCCAAACACACCAGCCTGCCTTCAGTGACTCAGGACCAGTAGCTACGTCATCACCAACTGCCGTACCCCTTAAAAGGCCCCCACCACTATAGACCACTCTCCTGTTCTCCCACTCTCATGCCCCCCCCACCACCAATAAATCTCTTGTGTGTGATCTGCTGCCTTTCTTTTCAGCATTCCTTGGCCCGGACCCACCAAGGTATTATCGGTAAACCCGAACAGGTGAACCAGGAGTGCTGCAGAACGGGATCCTACTGGTACCTCCCAGTCTGTCTTTTACAGCATAGCCAGAATGCCGTGTCTCCTTCTCCTTTCCTTCTGTCCTGTTCTAGTTCTGCAACCCTTGCTGCTTCCCAAAAGCCTCTGAGGATTCTGACTCACCCTCCCTGTCACTCACATCCCTCAGTGACCAGACCCAGTGTGTCCTCCTGGGTCTGTCCTATTTCACTCCTACGACTTCCTCTGCTTCAGACATCCGTGTTT